TTTATTCTCATAACCTCCTGTTGTGCAAATACTACGTACCATGATACACATGACAGTGTTAGAAGGAACACAGATTATCAAAAGGTATTCAGATGCCTAATTTCGACCGATTTTAACGTGAGCTTGGGTGCCTCAACAGAAATTGCAGGGTTCTCCCGCAGAGCTGATGGAAGCACTTAGGCCACGCTCTAACCGGAGAGCACAACTGCAGGTAAGGGGTGGAGAAAAGCAGCGGAACTCAGGGAGGAAAAGCCAAATGGACCACAGATTAGGAGAAAATGCACTAGGATCGATGCTCTTTACCTCCCTTCGTGGCTGTGAGATATATCTTTGGAAGAAGAGAGAGAAAAGGTATGGGAAGCTAAAGTTTAAATTCTAATATAAAAAAAGAGAAGGAAATCCCTTACATTTGACAGCAGCGAGGCAGAAGAAGAGGAAGACACGGTGATACCAGGCTTCCTATTGCGAATTAGGATCACAACACTTGGCCAATAAAGACCCATCTAACACAAAGTGCTGGGGTGGACATGCAAGCACACTTGAACAAAGGGCTGCGGCAGGGAAAAGAAGGTGAAGCTTTGTTGCTGTTCTGGATTTTTTGTTTCCTTTTACATATTTTTTTTCAATCCCCATCCAGATACTGGTCAGGAAGGACCTACATTTTCCTCATGCTGTAGCAGCATCTAGGAAAAAGAGATGTCACCTAAGATCAGAGAGCAAAGGTGGTGACTCTGCAGGTCTGCATTCTTCTACAGCTCACCTTCAGAGTCTGTTTACAACACGTTTCCCAGTTTGAAAATTCTGAAGTACCCCTCTTTTACGCTAAAGAAAACAGTGTGTCAGCAGACATAGTTTAAAGTGAATTGAAGGTTTTAATTGGTATTTGTAAAAATAAGAAGGTTTTTGAAGCAACTGTGGGTATTGCAATTCCACCTTGAAGTCTAATCCGAGAGCGGGAGCGCTAGTGTTGCGCAACGACAAAAATAAACATGACGAGAGACCTACAGTTACTTAAATGTGGACAAGTTGGACCAGCTGTGTAACAGTCAATGCTTCTACAGTAATACATGTTGACAGCAAAAATAAAAAGAATGCATTACTGAGACATCATCAAATGAGCCCTGTCATTACATGGAAACTCCACCCTGTATAAGCTTGTCAAAAAGTGTTACTGTAATCCTTTGAGAAGCCTCCTCCTCAGGCAACCGAGACAAAAAATGCTCAGGATGGGCCCAGGACAGGTGTGTTGGGCTGTAACGCCAGGATTTAATCACGTATCGCTTCACATTAATCTCACAAAGGAACTAACTCGGATCTACTTGGGCCCGTCATGCCACGCTGAGATGATTATTTGACTACCCAATTTAAGTAAGCAAGCTAACAAGGTGTTTAAAAATTGACATTCCAGGACGTACAATATTTTACAATTATTATTTGTTTTCCTAAGTCCAGCACCGGGCACTGACACTTAAGAGGAACTGATACTGCTTGCTCTTTTTAAAGTCCGACCCTGAAAAATCTCAGTACACACCCTGATCAACAGTGGCAGAGGCCGGTTGTCCCTGCTCTGAGATACCCTCTTGCTTACGGGAGACACTCCGCAGTGGCATTTATTTCCTCTTTGCAAAAATCCCCAGCCCTGCTGCCTGAACAGCAGTTGAGGTATGAACATGTGTCGCGTGGGCCAGAGGAGCAAATGTGGGTAGAGCAAGAAGATACGGCCATCAGATGCACGAAACAGAGGAATTCTGCAGGTGCAGCCTGAGGTTGGAGTTCAGACCCTAGACCCAGCTGCGCTGGCAGGGGTGGGACTGTATCCTCGCTGCTGTCGATGCCTCTGAACCCACCACTTAGTTATCAGCAGTGCCAGGTGAGCGCAATGTCAGTACGCTGCTGATCGTATTCCATTATTTGTGGCTCGGTAGGATTGTACTTTGTGTAGGAAACTTATAAAAAACAGTCAGCATGACAGCTAGACCATGTATCTACAGCAGCACGTCAACCGCGTGCTCCAAGAGAGGCAGGAGGTTTCCAAAATGCCATCTGGTCAACACAGCTGATAGGCAGCAAGCATCAGCCCCAGTGGCCCGTGACCAACCCAGAAGCCTTGGAGGGGCAGGGAAAAGAGTGGGACAGCAGTTGATCTCCCTTTAAGAAAGTTTGGGGGAGAAAACGGGTGCCTAAATTCCATACCACCGTACCTCAAGACAGGTAGGTTGGATTGCTGTGAGTACACATGGGCATCTCAATGTTTTTAAGGTATGTCTTTGGAGATTGTGTTAGAAAAAGCTTAATCAAACACAATCTACAAATCAAACCCTGGTTAACTGATGGTATTTTAGCACTTGACATTATAGAAATATGCCCCAAATTTGCCTGATTAAAATTTTATGAGGCTACACCAGTAAATTTTACTAATACATGGATACAAGAGCACAGGACTTAGCTAACCACACTATCACCACCAGCGAAGTGACTCACTTCGCTCAGGTGAGATAAGCCACAGGCGCTGTTCCGAGCATCCTGCCTACACCATCACTGGATGATCAGGGACGGGGAACTGGCTGTAAAGCAGCTACAGTCAGCCTCTGGGCGAGCACCCGTACCATTAGCTGGCAGTGGCAACAGTCACCCTGTACGGAAATAACCATCAGAGGGCACTGCGAAACATGCTGTGCTCAACAGAATTCTGCAAAAGCTGTGTTGGAAGCTGTCATGTGCATGCAAGTTAAAAATCCAGAGTGGAGAAATTCAGCTGCACAACCTGACTCATTAATGATTTCATGCTGTTATTTACAAGTGTTTCAGTTCTGTTTCTCTCTCACACACACTTTTGTTTACAGCGAAGCTGTTAGATAGATGACTTTGCTTTTTAAAACACAAAAGAATTTTCTGCTTATCTTCTTGTGGTTTTATGATGACTTATTGTTGCTATTAAGAAAACAGTAACAGAAACCGGACTCTATATCCTGTTTGCTATTGTAATATTTGGGAAAAAAACTGCACCAACTGCACTAAGATCTTAAAAAAGAAAAGGTGTTGATGTTTGAACACTTGAAGTTGCCAAGTACAAGACTTACAAGAAAGCGACATGTTACGCAGCAAACCACAAAAAGACAGTATCAGGGTAAAGCCCTCTGTTGAGTACAGACTGCTTGTCAAATACTCCCCCTCTGGAATAGTAATTTCATAAACCAAGGTTGATTTTTTTTGGTTTTAAACTTCCTGCTCCAAAGGCGAAAGAGCCCATGATCACCTTTTCGGCGTGCCGGTAACAAGAGGAGTGAAGGTGTAAGTAAATATCCTATTTGTGTATAGAACCCACAGCGTCTGGAAACCTGCCCCCAAAGTTTATGAAATTTTCCATTAGTTTTCTGAATGTCAAAGTGCGTTAGAAAAAACTCCCGTCGGGGAAGAAATGTCACTGGTGTTCTCAGTGATAGAAAACCAAAAGGAAATATGAGAAAAGACTACAAAGGACTTGGACAAAGGTAGATTTTAGAGGAATGTATAAAAATTAATCTTGCATTCTCCCTCCCCACTTAGATTAAGTACAGCCGCTGGAGTACGAAGTCAGGAGACACCCACATCACCACCGTGGGGACATACATTACTGGGCTGTCGCTGATCTTGGCCATCCAGGGAAGGTCCAACTCAGGGAGCAGAAGGCAGTTCCTGGTTCTGAGATCATGGCCTCAAGGCCATGAGTCTTCTCTCTCCTTAAAAAGAGTCTTCTCCTTCCTTAAGCTTTGTCACCCTTCCACCCAGATTTTTCTCAGTTTCAAACCCACCAGGTTTTATCCTCCTAGGACAGGTTTATCCCTTTCTGACCTGCTCCTATCTTCTTCTCCCTGGCTCTGGACAACTGTGCTGATCTCCTGTTTCTCCTTCTATTCCACTCCTACTTATTTCTATCCCTTATCAGCCCCTCTCTCTCTGCCCTTGTATCCTTTTCTTTCCTTCTGTTTTCTCCATTTCTATCAGCTTTTATAGTTTCTGCTTTTGAGCCTTTCTTGGAATTCACCCATGATGTGAATTTCACCTTTTTATGAAAGCATTAAAAAACCCCATACCCAGCATATTCTTGTTAAAATACAATAAAAAATTCAATTATATTGTGACTTGGATTTTTGTTGTAATCCTCATGTTAAAATTTGCATGCAGTATTAACAAAATTAAAGTCAATTTCTTTACCAATGAATTACAGGTAGCATAAAGAAGAAAACATGAACTACAGATATTGTGCAGATACTGTGCCTTCGTATTATTATAACCGTAATTGGTAAATCTCGCACTAATGAGATACAAGATTTAAACGTGAAGAATGTGTTTAGTGAATTATTGTCAATCAATGTCTGTACAACAGGATAAGAATAATCTTGAATGGCAACACACCTGTTATTATAAATTCCTAACTAAGTACTTCATTACTTCAAAATGTCACTCTCAATTTATAACGTAACAGACAAACATCTCTCCACTGCAGACCTCACTGTGTCTGCTGCTGTGTAATTGAAACACTGTTTCTGAAAAGTCTTGTCATCACTTACCCGTTCTGCCTCGTTCTGCACGGTGATTCGGTACTGGCATGTTCTGGTTAAGGTTGCTTTTCAATTCCCTTTTGAACGCATACATTTAAGATATATCAATCCAACCTACTTTTGTTGTCTACCTGTGACTTGAAGATGGTCACTGGGAAAAAACCTGATTGTCATTTCCTTGTATGAGCATATTCAGCTCTATAATACCCCTGCAAATGTAAATGGTTCTCCTGACTAATATTCAGAAAAAGGAAACAAACTGAAAATGACAGTGAACCAAGAAGGAGGAGTTTTTCTTAAGAGACCCAAATAAATACACAAATTTTTAAACTCTGATGAAGGAAGAGACACTAAAACACATCATACCCAACGGCATTGGCTAAAGAAACATCTGGTTAGTTTTGCATCCCCAGTGATGTGTGGAAGCTGTAGGTATCTGCAGTAACTTTCAACGCTCACCTCATCCTTTATGTCCTCCTGCTGCTGGGCACTGAAGATCTCCATCGCAGCCATCAGCCTCATCATTAGCTCATCCACTGTTGTGTTACCTAGCAACAAAGGAAGGTAGCTGAACTTCGTATCATTAAAGATATTAAACAAAAAAGAAGTCAGTTTGGAATTAATCCATAAGAAATAGCCTAACTGTAAAAAAAAAAAAAAAAAGAGAGAGTAGAAAATGTAAGTATCTCAGGGTGCTTTTAGTTTGCCTTTTTACTGGAGATCCAAAATTATTTTACAACAGATGTTGATCACAGGCTAAAATTTTAAGTGGTTCAAATCTGAACAATTGCTTTTGTGCTTGCATGGGATAACTGTGTTTCTTTTTTTAAAATCACTGGGGTTTATAACCTTTCTGGGGTTCCCTGACATGAATTTTACAGTTTTAGAATTTTCACGTATAATCAGGGATACAGAAGCAATTTCTTGGTCAAGTAACAAAAGGTAGGATATGTTGGCAGCAGCATCCAAGTGGATTGGTTTAAAAAAAAAATGGAAAAAACCCAGAATACAGTGATCGAATGGATGTGTGCACATGCATTTTTATTTTGGTACAAATAACAGTAAAACTTCAAATATTATAATATATTCTCTTCAGTGTATTTACTTCTGATAAAACTTGCAAAGCCAGTAATAGCGGAAAAGTCAGTCATCTGGGTGTCTATCAAGAGATACAGCACATGCATAGGAAAGTAGGTATCTCCTCACATTTTTCCACCAGCGTGCCTCCAGTCGTCAGTGAGACCGAAAGATTAATTTCCTACCAAGATGCACTCAGTCTCTCTTTTCTTTTCCTAAACTAAAGTCTAGACTGCCCATTACAGCCACTTGCCATAGTAGTTAAGAGTCTTGGACCAGGAGAAATGCTCTAAATCTGTAAACTCTCCACACCTGCCAACCTAAACAGCCTCTGGACTTTCGCAGAACACCACCCATGAGAGACAGATTTATATTAGTGATGCTGGTCAAAATTTTAAGGGGGTTAAAACTAACCAGAAGCCACGGTACCACTAAAGAAAGCCAAACTGTCCCCATAGTTTCCAACCCCTTCAAAAAAATAAAAATGAAAAGCAAACATAGCCAGTCTGCATTTCAATAAATGCCACTGGGACTTAAGTTTCTGTATTGTTGTATCTCTTCTGTAAACATGCCTTCTCACCCAGCCCTGAAAAGCCCTCATTGTTCCTCTCTCTACCATTTGCTACCTTAGCAGAAAATGTTATCCCGCATGCTACAACACGCAGGACTTCAGAGACGACCCGTGTGAGGGCACAGTTAAAAGACACCAGTGCCCCAGTTCATGGGAAAATAATAAGCACAGCACGTTTAATGTTTGTTAAAAGATAAAAATTTAAGTAAGGCTGCCACAGAAGACCAGTTTAGTTTAGTTCAAAAGACTGTTTGCAGGAAACCTGAAAAATCATTAAAACTTAATGAATGCAATGAAATAATTTGGATTATTTTGTAATGTAAAGCTGCATGATATTATGACTTTGAGTCACCAAGTTGCCAGAGTAGTCACCCCGCTGACTTCCGTGTGATAACAGAGGTGCTTGAAGTTGCACATACGCTGAACTGCGCTGCGGAGTTATAAACCTATGCGTATGCAGTAAGTTCTAAGTGACAGAAGTACCATGAATGAGTGTTGTGCTGTACCTTGCACTAAGGGGACTAAAATCCATGCAAAAGTCACGATTTTGGCCATAGGAAGGAACACTGCAGATTCCTCAGGAAAACGATTAATCCCACATGCAGAAACAGTAATGCTGTCTGCAGAAGGCAGTATTTCCTGAGGCTGAATTTCCTCAAGGAAAACAAGGAGATTAGAATAAAGATTGCTAGTTATGAGCAATAAATAAATGAGGACACAGTGTCATGAAGGCAAACTTGTGGAGAAAGCAGAAGAAATTAGAGGCAGCCATTCTTTGATGTATTTTAATTTGGAGAGTTACTGAGAACAGCAGTCAAAGGGCATCACTCCACATCTAAGTCATCCTGCTGTCACCGAAATCAGAGGAATGGTTATGCCACAAACAACTGCTCGTGTAAGCCACAAAGCTTCATTTATGTGAGATTTTATCAGCAACTTAAAATTCTGATCCGATTTGGGGTCTCAGTGCTGCAAGCAGGTCTGAAAAAGCAACCGATGTTCAAATATTAGCCCACTACAGGCAACAGGAGCCTACATGTTAACAAGGAACTGCACGCCGAGAACTAAATGCATTCTGACACGACACAAAAAGAGCAGCCCCAATGTTTAGGAAATCCGTAATTTACACACATATAAATTTGGAGAACTAAGTGTAGTTTCTTATTTAGGTGAATTGGCTTCCACTTAAAAAAACCCCGAAAAACTCCCACGGCAACTTCAATCTCTAATACTACGTTAATTAACACATTTATGAAGAGCAGCTATTTATACCACAGCAACTAAATGTTTCTTGCGTGAAATAAATTCACATTCTGAACACCTTAAAAAAGGAACAAAGATGTCTTCTAACAGTTTCAGTGCTGACGTAAGAACGACGTTTAACACGACGCGAGAGCTGTACCTTGTATTACATTCAGTACTTCATTAGATGACCGCTTTCCCATAATAATAAGGAAAAGTGGAAACTGGTCTGTCTTCTGAGTTCGAATTGTCTGGGCCACAACGCTCCCGAAGTGTCTAGTGCACATGGTCAGAAACCTGTGTGGGGAAAAAGAAGTTAACATTGTTGAGGTGTTCTGGAAGCTAGTTTAAAAAATAATTATGCTAAATTCGAGCAGTTTAACTGAGCGTTAGCCACTGTTTAACATCTAGGCTTCTGCAGCCAATTCTAGAGCTCCTTCTCTCTTTTTATGATTAAATTATGAGAATATTAACAAGCATGATAGATCCCAGGTTGTCTAAATTAAAACAATTAATAACTGTTTGAGCCAGTGATTTATTTGATGGAGAATTCAATTTCCTGTTACACTATTCTGCAGGCTATAAATCTAAACTACCCACTCCCCCTCAATATAATTATGCTAAATCAATTGTTAAAAACTTCTAAGAGAAACTAAGTAGAGCCATAACCTACTAAACATGACAAAGTATAAAATCAGTATCATTTCATACTAAAGCAAAATTTAGTAATGAAAGATCAAGGAATTTTTATCAGCCACAGAATTAAAATGTGGTACTTCAGAATTGTATTTTCTTTTGTACTAGTGCCCTGCCAGTGACATACTTAGCGGTGTGGTCTAAAAACAATAATTCTAAGCTTTTGACCAAAAAAAGCTCTCAGATATTAGCATACAGAAGTCTAGCATTAGTATTCTTAACACGATCTTGAATAAATGAAAAAACTGATAAAGCTTTTCTCTTCCATTAGAGGACTGTTTGAAATTAGCATTTCTTTCAAGAGAAAAGGGTAGCTTATGATATGTTTTCAGATCTGATGGTAAAAAGTAAATGTCATAATAATAATGAATTATGAAAGACCAAATGCAAATATAGAATGCTTTAATAAGATCCAATTTAATAAAGTCTGTAAAAATAATGGACTTTTAATAACACGGGTCACAAAAGGCAAAACAGTGGAAATTCTGTGGACTAGCCACTGGTACAGGCTTATTAATTCTTAATTATGTTCATGAAAGGCAACTTAAATCATGTGTTTTCTTATGCCTTATGATAATATTTTAGGTAACAACTACTCTGAAATGTATGCTCTAACTGAAGAGCAAAGTCCTGTTGTCACATGCATTAGAAGCCAAATCTATTTGAAAAGACAAACTGCATTAAAATGTCAAGCGCACCAAGTAATTTCTTCTGAGAGATACTGAAAAGATTCAAAATTCTATTTTTTTTTTAATTAATAGATATTGTATCTAATAAAATGGTGAAAAATCGATAAACCTGATGAGTACAACACAATCATCAAAAAATAACCCTCCTTGGAGACAATTTGTAGGATACCTATGGCCATAGCTGGATGGAAGGCAATGAGGAGGAGTAGCTAGCAAGTATTCCAAAGCCATAAATGTTACTGGCGAATACCCTTCCCTGCCTCCTTGATTTGCAACTCAGAACTATCACGCAGAAAGACAACGTCAAAAACGTCAAATAGGGACTGTTAAATCAGAAACAGCTACGTAGAGACACAGCATCGCGTAAAGATAAAATAAAGTCTGGACATATAAACTCTTAAGCTATACGTTATTTTTATTTTTGGCTTTCAAGATGGGAATATGTATGTGAAATCTTGGCCTCACAGAAGTCAGTGGTGATCTTTCATGGCAAAGTGACACATGGGTGTTCAAGGTTTCACTCCTGAAAGTAAGAGAGTCAGGAGTCTGTTGAACTGAATTCCTGAAACGTGTGTATTAAAACTATTTAACAGTCTTCAACATGCCATGGCAGAAAAGCACTCAAGTCTCACGTGAGAACAAAGTATTTAACTGGAGGTGAAAAAGTGGTGCATTGAATACTGCTCGAAGGAACAACACTGAGGCCATTACAATAGTAGTTGCACTAGTCAAAGATGTTGGGTTTTTCTTCATCAATTCTGTATTTAGTCATCCCATAACTCAGTCTCAAAATATGGTTTTGTAAGTATGGGTTTTGTATGTAGATAATTCTGACTGAAGTAGGTGTTTCAGTACATTAAAAGATCTCACAAAATCATTTTTTTCCAGGAGATGAGTTTTTATCCATGGAACATCTGGCTGACTACACAGAAGCTGACAGACTACGATACCTTGGAGTTCTCTGAAGTCTGGGAACAGGTTTCAGCTCCCTGGCTTCAGAAGATGGCAAGCCATGCCAGGCTGTTGTAAGGGTACACACACCTTCCTGCCTGAGTAGCAGCACAAAGGACAGATGTCAACGTCTCCCATCATGGTGGGTTTTTTTCTCTGATGGTCAGTTCTTAAAGGCCCTGGTGTCACCTGCCCTGCTCTTTGAAATCTCCTCCCTCCTCTGCTGCTGCTGCAATCTGCTCAGCTCGCGGGGAGAGGGGCCAGCTCGCTCACGTACCAGTTACAGGAGCAGCACATGCCAATTCTGACCCAATGCCAGATTTGCCACTGGTAGCCCTTGGCTTTCCTGGGGGAGGAAGGAGAAACAACACTTCTCCCCAGCACTCCCATCTTTGAATAACGAATGGCCAGGTTACAGCACGGGCCGCTGCGATGAGGCCGGCTGTGGGGGATGAATGACCGGCTGGTTGTTTATCAATGCGTCGCTTCGGAGCAGAGCGAATACACACGCGAAATTCTAACATGATCCATCCAAACAGACCCTGCCCTTGGGAACCAAGTAAAACCCCGCTTGTCTGTTGAACTAAACGCAGTGAAGCCAACAGAAGGGTGCAGGTAGGCAAACGACACCACACCGACTGAAGAGGTACCAGCAGCCATCGCCAGCGCTTACGCCGCGCACCGGCCGCTCACCAGCGACTACTCGCCACACACGTGCTCCTCGCCAGGTCAGCGGGAAGCGCTCGGAAATCACGCGTAACACGTCTCCGCTTTTCATTTTACACGGGGGTTAGGAATTCAATTTTCATTAGTGATCCCCATTCAGTTCTTCTCATGCCTTCCAGTACAATTTGCAACTACCTAACTAATTTTGCATTTTTTTTTTCCTTTTTTGCCTTTACTGATTCTGTATTTACAGTCCTTTTTACTTTCTTCCACATTCATACCCAGCAAACCCCCACCCCTCCTTTGTACTAACATTCACTGTCAGAACTGAGCAGGACCAAAACAATTTGGTGCAATAACCAGTGTCTTCCTCTGCACATCACTAACAAGGGATTTTCGTACTTTCATCTAAACAGAAGTGTGCCAGCTCTTTCGGTGGCATCTCCAGAGCTGCCAAGAGAACTGCCTGTGGAGTGCATCAAAGAGCCAGATGTCCCTCCGGGAGAACTGTTTTCCACAACACGTTGGATTACTGTGATCTCCAACCAAAAGTGGAAATAGAGGAACGCTGCCAGAAAGGGAGGGCAAATGGCACCCTACTAGTCCTTTTATTTTTAAATTACAAAACTATTCAAGGAGGGAGAAATATGAGAAACACAATAAAGCATTTTATGAAGGAAAATTCCATTAAAAAAACACTCAAAAGTTGCAAGAATGAAGTTTATCACAAAAAGTAGTTTTGGCAGACAGGACCATTTCGTTATTCATGACTCGATAGCAACGAAATCAGCAGTTACTAAAGCTACAGAATAAACACGGACACTGACCATGGATCGACAAATACAGAAACAAACCCTAAGAACAGTACAGACTTCATTAAATGCAGATTGAACAGGTGTTAGTTCTTAGACAGTTTACTCCCCAGTTAAAAGCAGCACACAGGAAAAACTCTTCTGGTGAGCTGCCGATGTTTAATTTGGGGGGCTGCCGATCACTGCACAGCAGCAATCCCTCTGGGGGTACCCTGAGATAAACTGTGCAGAGAGATACCATGCTCGTAGCACGTTAGTTTCCCAGAGAAGAATATTATTCCCTACAAGCTAATATGTGACATGTGATATTAAAATATCCTCCTGGCATAATTTTTTTTTGTAATTTTATCATAAAATGCAATTAATTTAATATTACTTTAAAAAAGCTCAACTCTGAAAAAATAACAATTTAAAAAATCTATTGAAAAAGAGTTTAAAAATATTACTGACTCTCAAAACCAATGGGAATACTTCTTACGACTGAAGTCTGTGTTCTACCACAGCTCCTGATCTCAGATATGCTACACATAACCTTGTAAACAATGGGGTTTAGCAATAACATGTTTTTGTGAGAATGTGCAGCTTTTAATTTTTAACAAAATTGGCCACTTCTGGCTGAAGTGATGATCATCGCAAGTGTTGATCTCACTGTTTTTTGATTTCTGGAAAGCCTTTGATCTATATGGTACCTATTTACAGCACAAAAGTTGTACTGCCTTTTCTGGGCGGGAGCCCAAAGGAGAAAGCCAACCCTAGGCAGGAGATGGCAGCTGTTCCCCACATCAGGCTGGTGAGGGTCTGAGTGACCTGGTCTAGTGGAAGGTGTCCCTGTCCATGGCAGGGGGGTTGGAACTGGATGGTCTGTAAGGTCTCTTCCAACCCAAACCATTCTGTGATTCCTCATTACAATGGCTGGTGTTACCTCATTGTTTCTTTATGTAGCTCCTGCTCAGGTATTACGTTGTTTCACATTTTTGTTATTCATATGGACAGGATCTACTGCAGCCAAGTTTGGATCTGTGATTACTCAAGATCCCTCCTTACCACACCATGAATATGAGCAAACAAATTTAAACAATTCAGTAAGCTAAAGGCATCTCTGTTGCCCAGTCCCTAAAGAGGGCAGAAGGCAGAGGTGTCCGTTAGCTTCCAAACTGTCATGTTGTATTTTCCCATGTGAACCGGTTCAAAGTGAATTCCCACTCTTACCTAGCAGGGGAAAAATTTGCAAAGAACTGATGAGAAATTAAAGGAAGAATGTAGCAAAGAACTGATGATTCTGAGCAATAAGAGATGTCTGCATCTCCATGAGCAATCACAGTGCAACACAGCACGGCTACCCTTGGCCCTGATCCAGCGGAAGGACTCTAAAAGAGCAGAGGAATTGAGTCTCCTTTCTCTTTCCACTCAGAGAAGTGGGAACTGGCATGGCTTTAAGAGACACGGACACCACCGACCAGTCATCGCTGAAACCAAATGTTAA